CGCAGGCCCCGCCCCCTCCCCGGGCTCCGCGCCCCTAGCGGTTCGTAGCCCGGGTGTAGCCGCAGTGGTGTCGAGGACCCGGTCACCAGGACAGGTGGGGGAGAGGGAGAGGAAATCATTCATGAGGCCGACGAGATTTTTGCAACCAAAACAAAAAGTCTTTAACTGCAAGGTTTGAGGGGCACAAACACCCTTCCTGAGGCGCTGGAGAAGAGCGGGCCAAGGCTCTGGTGGAGTGACACGGACGTTTTGTACGAGCTGTCCTGGGGAGACACGGACGTGCCTGGTTCAGAGGGCTTCACAGAGGAGGCAGTAGTTCAAGGGCGTCTGCACCTGGCCGGAGGTGAGAGCCTCGCCACCCGCTCTGCACTGACTGCACAGAGGAGTTTTCCATGGCAGGCAGTCCTCGGACTTCCTCACAACCCCTCCCTGAAAACCGCATCTCAAGTCGAAACGTTGTAACTCGGAACCGATTTTCGCATAGGAAACAATGTTATAAATGGGGTTCCTGAACAAAGGCCCGATACCCTATTTTCAACCAAAGATCCCCCAGAATTTTGTGCTCAGTCAATTAGAGATGAGTCGTATAGCTACATTAATGAATGTATATGGTAAATAGCAATCGTATTGATGTGGAAGGATTTCTTTGAGGTGACTGCTGGACGTTTTGAAGGGCTCCTGGCTGGAGTCTTCTCAGGAGTCCGGGCTGCAGGTTCTTCTGGAGTCTGGTCTGCTTTCTTAAAGGAAGTGTCCAAGGAAGTTTGGACAGCTGCTCTCCAGGGAGACGAGCGACGCAGTGAACTTCTTCGCTGGCATGGCGTCAAGCGTTGTAAAGCTGAAACTGACGTCGCAGAGTTGAAACAGGGTGACAACTTATAAATGTTGTACGTGCAAAACGTTGTAACTCAAAACGTTGCAAGTCAAGAACCGCCTGTATTGACTCCTCTGTAAAATCCTATGAAACAGGAGCTTTCATTTCTACCCAGGAGAGCGTTTACCATCTTTTCTGCCATGCCTGATGAAGGGTGGTTGTGCCGGAAAGCTTGCAATTAAAGACTTTTTTTTTTTTGCAAAAAGCTTGTTGGTCTCATAAAAGATCTCATCTCTACTACGGGTCCTGATGGCCTTCTCATGGCTCTTGGGAGAAGCCCAGAGGGCTCAGTGCTGTCAGGGCACCTGGATTGCTGCTGCCACATTCCCCCACCCCTGGGGGCCTCATATATGGCCCCCCGCACTAGACCCCACATGCAGGTCTTGATCCAGGCCCTGACCCCACAAGCAACCCCAAGCGAGGTTTTAGTATCCAGCCCCCCTTCACCAGAGATAATGATCCTAATCATCCAAAAATTACCATTTTCAGGCCCCCTTTCTGTCTGGGCACCCACTTCACTTATAACTGTGTCCAGTCCTGCCCACATGGCCACTGACCAGCCCTGCACCACTCATCCAGCCCCTGGGGCTAGAAGACTGAGCACTGCTGATTTAAGCAGTCAGATCCAGTGGCTGCTGAGTACTGAAAGCCAGATGCTAGACCGGGGACCTCTGTGCAAGAGCCCAGGTGAAGGGTAGCTGCTGTGAGTAGTTAGCTTCAGAAATATGGATATGACAAAGTGACTCCAGCGCAGTTGAAGCTAATAAGCTACACAATCAGCCAGGCACTGAACTGGCCCTTTTGTGATCAAGTCACCTGCTTCTGTGCCACTTCACAATAAAACGTTTTAATTCACCAGTAAGGTAATGTCCCCAGCTTCCCTTCTTCTGAAAACCGGGTGAGATACAGTTTGTACCAAAACCCGGAGACCAAAAACTCCCTGTCCTACAAAGACATATGTCCAAGCATGCCTGTAAACAGTCTCACACAGAACCAATTTATTTACCCATTAGAGCATCCAGTGCTTGTACGAGCAAGGTCTTCAGATCTGCTTCTTGGGATGATGTCATTCATTGTGTTCTTAAAATCAAAACCATCTATTTTGCAAGGAGCTAAGAGGTATCCCCCCCCACACACACACACACACTTTTAGTAGAATATAATCATCTATTTCAGTGGTTCCCAAACGCTGACAGATTATGCACCGCCAATTTCAACCGATACGTAAGTACCACCAGCAATTTTTTCAGTTCAACCTTCGGTACCACCAGGAAATTTTGGTCATATCTGCTGACGTGTACCACACCACAGATTGGGAACTGCTGATCTATTTTGTTGCAGATGGGGATATAAAAAACGGGCGATGCAGTGCCCGCAAAGAGCCTGTAGGGGAGCTGCTGCTGCCCAGCTCCTGGCTGTAAAAGCGGAGTGAGCCCAGGTGGAAGATGAAGTCTGGCTCCCGGAGCTGAGCAGGCAGCGGCAGCTCCCCGGGGTGCTGGCTACAGATGGCCCAGGCTTTTCTCACCCCGAGCATCCTTCAGGTGGTTTGCGTGGTGCTGGTGCTTCCCCATTTCAGGTCAGCAGCAGGTAAGGTAGATCCCCTCCCCTCTCCATGTAGGGGGTTACTAGACGGCAGCCCTGAAAAATCAGTTCACCCCTGCTAAAAATGCACCAGGCTTTATTCCCAGGTAAGCCAAGAAATGACCAAGCATTTCTCTGGTTTGCTGGGGAATAAAATGATCAAGCTGGGTTTGCACTGTCATCACCTATATACGGAGACAGTCTGTAGTTGCAGGGGAATGGATTAAATGAACTAAGAGAGGGTTTCTTTTTTTCTTTATTGCTAGTTTCTACAGTGCCAGTCTAAAATTAGACCGGGATATAGCTCAGTCTCCTGGAGTAGGCAGTGGTTAATTATAAGGATGTCTTTTTGTTTTCCTTAGCTGGATGACTTGTGTTTTCAGCCTGCTTGTGCAGGAGGGAGCAGATGGGAAAGGAACTGCCTGCCTAAGGTGACACTTCCTGGCAGGGGGGCTGGCAATGAGCTAGTTCTCTCATGAACACAAGGCAGCTTTCCTTGCCCTACATTCACAGGGGTGGCGCTTGCTTGCTCAAGGTGAGGCTCGCTGTCAATGTTGCTTCCCAACTGGGAAGTACCTCTTCTCCCTCCCAGCTCCTACACCCAGGGGTTACAAGGCTCTCAAACAGTCTGCATCTTTCTGCTCCTTTAATGTTGGTGCACTTCATCCTGCAAGGGGTAGAAGGCAAAGAGGAGTCAGGAGA